TCCCACCCTTCCCAAATATATTTAAGCCCAAACAGAAACAGGTCTCATGCTGAGGACGTGGTTTTGCTGTGCTGCAGTCGGCAGTACGCAAATTCCTGTGATGAAAAATGCTCATTTTGGTATTATGGTGTGGCACTTTGGGTCAGTAAAAAGCATCTACAAGTTCTCAAACAAGTATTTTAGATATTGCTGTAATGATAGATGCTTTTAATAGCCCCCAAATGCTAATAGAAATGTCATTTCCTCACAACCCCTTCCAAAACTGTGTTATGAGATTGTATTTGATAGAGTAATCCCCCCATCTAAGCATTTAAATAGAAATAAGAACTGTTCTTGTTTCCTTGTAGGACCGAAGGGAACAGGACCACCAACATTTTTTGCCTTCTGGTCATCTGGAACCAGTGCAAAATTTTATTTTTTTCTCTTTTGTTGAAAACTGTTGGAGTTTTACCACCAGCTTTTAAAGACTATAAAGGAAAGATAAAAATGCAACAGATTAAAAGTAATTAAAAAAAAAAAATTAACCCACAAAAGCCAAAAACTTCACAGCACAGGAACCCCCTTCATAGTTACATCCCGTGTATTTGGCAAAATTGTATTAAATTGCTGTAGTTTCCATCAAAACTTTGAAAACATCTATATGGTAACAGCAGCTATTTGACCCAATAGTTAGGAATGTGATGAAAGAGTCTTCAAAGGTAGCCAAATAGGAAAGTTTTCACAAACTGAGTTCCCAGTGAATTGACCAGGGAAGGCCACATTTGTTTTAATAATCTGTGACACAGAGCTTGAAACCATCCTGCCAACAGGAAATGGTTTTCTTGAAAAAAAAAAAGGTGCAAATATATTCTGAGTGAATACCTTAAAAGTTCAATTCAAACCCACTTTTTTAACAATTAATGGATAGAAAATTTGATGGCATGGTGACTTGAGGAATCCTAAAGATTTAAAACAGCAGAGAGCACCAATCTGTTTTTCCATAACTAGTGGTTTAAATATTCGTTGACATTGCTGATTAACACATTCTATTTTTAAAAATAGGCCAAAAATCCTGTTGTGCCTTGACTTGTACTCTCCACAAAATCAGCAGGTTTTGTGTTTAAGATGTTACTGGCTGGAAAACACAATCTGCTGCAGCGTTTTGTGGTATAACTATCTAGCAAAAAAACAAAATAAAATAAAAAAAAAAGGAAAAGCTGCATTTTCCTGTTTGTTAGTTCTGTCCAAGGCACTTTTCTCCCCTCTGTCCTGTGTTGGAAACAATGACAGCTCATTCTGCCTTTGATGAACGGGATAAAAGCGAATTGACACAGAGCAGTGCCCGGTTTCACGGCTCTGACAAAACTCGTGGTGCAACGTGAGCAATTACCTGCAGCTTTTACAACACAGTGCCACGAGTAAACCTGTTGCTAGCAGTGGGTTCATCTCCCCTGACAAGCCACCCCTGCTGACTGGAGCCCCTGGCTGGGGCTGGTGACACACGTGTGCGCTGAGCCTCTGGTTATTCCCACACCAGATCGCCGCGTTACACGCGCGGTGAAATCCGCGTCACCCCGTGTCTTCACCTCCCAAGGAGGCACAGCCAGCACATGGGAATGAGGATCTGATGATGGAGGAGATCCTCTGACCTAGGAGAGCAACTTGTCAGAGGGAGTTTAGACTTGTGGGGCACAATTCCACATGAAAACCTGAAGTTCTGGGAAGACTTTCTGGCAAATGCCCTTTTCCCTCTGCGAAGCGCATGAAAACCTGAAGTTCTGGGAAGACTTTCTGGCAAATGCCCTTTTCCCTCTGCGAAGCGCAGTGGTTTTTGACACTGTTGATTCAGAAGGCTGTTTGCTATCACACTGGAAATCCAGGTTTTGTATTTCTTCCCCTACTAAGGACATGTTATCGCTTTTCCTGATTTCTAGATCCCTGATCCCTCCTTTTTCTTCCAAATGTCTGCTGTTTACAAGAGCTGAAGAGAAACAGGACGGCGTCTAATCTTAACCGTGCATGTCCAGTTTTTATTTATATTGTGGAAAAGGATTGTGGTTTTGGCAACTGCAAGCCATTGTCACAGGAACACAAAGCAGACATTGATTTCTAAGGCCTTACACTCTTCAAAGTGCGGTGGTGTAAACCTGGAATAAGTTCACTCAAATGGAACGTTGTCGAGACAAGAGCACTGGCACCTCAGCAAAAGTTTGCTGCAGGTTAGACCCTAAAACACAGCCAGAAAAATGTTCTCATTACCTCTTGAGCTCTTAAGTAATCCAGAGGATCTAGAGGTAGAAATGCTGTTTAATTTCCTTTCTATGCACACTGACAAATGCTTAGAACACCAAATACGCTTTTAAGATTGGACCGATTTTTTTTGCAGTTTAAAGCACTTTAATCTATAAAATTAAACCTGAGACACTTTCTGAAGGGAAATTTCCTCTCCTAGAATGTCTTTGTTTCTATACTCTCAACCCTAAAGAGGGGTAAGTGGATCAAAAGTTTTAAAAATCCGAATAGAAAGTGAATAATTTTAGCAAATTGTCTGGTTTAATCTAAAGTGTTTTGCTCCTGTCTTAATGGAGAAAAACAAAAGCTTTCTGAGATATCCTGTTGCTATGGTTAATTCTAATTCAATCAGAAGGAGAATGTTTTTCCCATTAACTCGCCAGTCTGATTAATAAAATTCAAAGAGGCATCCAAAATTCTCTCATCCCTTTTCCCAGAAATAGTCAAGGGCCATCTAGGCTGAGAAAAGCTACACAACAGAAGAAGAGAGAAGTGCTGAGAGGAACTTCAGAGTGGGAATACAAGCTGTACCGCAGCAGATTTGTGATTGTTAGGTAGTGTTGAAAGCAGCCACTTTGAAATCAGGCAAGTGGGTGACTCAGACCCCCGTGGTGGGCATCACCATGGAAATTTAGTGGGTTTTGAGATAGTGATTATTTGCTTTGAAAGGAATTTGTTTGCAGGTTGGGACAGGATGGCTTTCAGTGTCAGTCCTGTTCCTAAAGCAATAACCAAGGTTTGCAAACAAGCTTTTCTCGGGGTTTTTTCCAACATGTACTTGTAAAAAGCAGCGTTCCAAGAGCGTCTGATTTTGACGTGGGGACCACACTATGTTTCTGAGTAAGGTGGGATGCCAAGGCTTTCTCAGAAGCACTGGCAAGGAGGTACAAAGAAAGCAGCATTTGCCATCTGTGCAGAAGGATTTCCACCACGTGGGAGGAGCAGCGTCCTCCTGGCAGGAGGTGCGTGCTCGACTGGCAGCAGAGTGTATCCAAAATGCAAGCCAAGAGAAATGCCACCTTCCTTTTGGCACCTGCCTCTGCAGGATGCTGCTGCCACGTGGCCAAGCACACACCTGTCTGTGTCCATCCATCCTCCTTGGCTCTCCGTGCAAAGGGTGGGAGGAAAACCTTGCGTGCCTGGCAGGTAGGAGCAGCCAGCTGCTGGCAGTGCCCCTCAGGAGGGCTTCTCTCACCTGCCTGCCAGGCACCCATAGCAACTGCCAGCCACAACCTGCAAACAGCCACCCAGAACACTGCTGTTTGTGCCCTGTTGCCATGGGGTGGGAGCTCCTGCGTGGTCGGAGGAGAGCGAGTGGCTGCACGCAGCCCCACGGGTGTGCGAGCGCCCACGGCCTCGGCTGCTGGGCACCCACCAAGGGCACACACAGCCAGGGGCTGTCCCCACCCAGGGCATGGAGCCTGTGCTGGAAAACCAACCCAGATCATGAGGAAACCAACCAGATTGTTTTCATTTAGTGGCAGTAATTCAATGTGTTGCGCTAGCGAGGGAGCAGCTCGCTTTTGGCCGTGTGAAATCTGGGCGTAAGATGAGCACGTTTTGGGCTGGTCTTCACCTTCAGAGCAGACCCACGGATGGTTTTGGCTGTGGGGTGCTTGTGTGGGAGCTATGAAGCCTGCAGCCTGTAGGTTTCTGCTCCCTTATCCATCCAGGCAGAACTGAGTCATCTTTGCCCTTGTGTCTCACGAGGTCACTCAGCTGTTGGCAACACCTGAGCACATTTTGATATGTGATATCACAGCCTCCCTTTCTTAGGGACTAAGGGAATGCACAGGGAGGTGTTATTAGCAGTCAGGTCAAACATATTTGCTCCATCAGACTGAAGAGAGAAAATATTTTTTAAGAATAAAATAAATCCGTAAAAATAGCAGGTGAGCAGTTTAAAAACAATGGCTCCAGTCTCTTGAGACAAGATGCATGGGTTTGGGATTCTGGTTTCTCTCCATGGTGCTCAGGTGAGTTGCAAAGATGAAAAAGTAAAAAGTAATATAAAGCAACATGTTTGGGTTTTAGGAATGAACCCTGGGAGTGAGTGTTACAGAAAGTTGTACTCCTCTTTAGACTTCATTAAAAATCCCTTACCTAAGTCTGCCTGAGACTTCTGCACGTACTGACAATTACATCTTCAGTAAAAAGAACAGTTCATTAGGCTGTGATTAAATCCAGCACATCTTCCTGTCCATACTGACATTTTAGGCCACTACCCACTTGAAAGAAGGAGAACTTTCTGTTGAACTGCAATGGGTATACGTAACCTGTTTCTTTTTTTTTTTTTTTTTTTCTTTTTAAAATAAACCTGTGTTAAATGGACAATGCTTTCCCTCAGGGAAATGTTCTCATCAGCTTGATTCATGGAAAGTTACTCATCTTCCTACCTCAAGGAAAGAATCTGTATTTAACTCCTGAGAACAGACTAATACGTCACATGAACAAAAATGGTTTAACAGGAGGCAAAACCATGAGAACTTCCAAAGGCAGCAAAGTTTGCTCTGCAGTGAGATGCTCCTCAGAAGAGTTTGTGTACCATCTATAGGAAATACTTCACAATTAGTGTATCACAAACATTCTTGTCCCATGAGATGACCTAATGCTACTGCCCTTTTCCACCTCATATCTTGCTTGAAATGCAAGTTACAGCAGATATCCTTGCGCTACTAATTGTCATCACATGCTTGATTCATTCCATTATGTTATTTGTGGTGTACCATGAAAGTCTTGTTAAAGTGCCCTTGCACATCATTATTATGGGGCACTGATGTTAAACTGGGAAAATGCCACGAGGCAAATGCTTAATAAATCGTTGACCTCTGAGAAATGCATGTTACAAACAGGTTACGTGTACTTGGAAATGTAACATGGATGAAGAAATGCCACCTGAGCTGATGTGGTCTGATTATTGACAGAATAAACTGGTGGGACAGTAAGTTTTCTGGGGTACAGGACACGAGCTGGCACAGTTATTTTTGTGAGCAAAATTCACCGTGACTGAAGCCTTTTGATGTGGCTGAACATTGTTCTCACCTGACACTGCCTGCCCTTGTCTGATCTTAAATATGGAACAGAAAATCTTGCTGAAGGGTTGCCTGGAGTACCAAGATCATTTCAACATAATATAATTTTAATATAAAGTGTGGTTTTGTTGGCTTCTAAGTTCATGACTACCTTTATGAAAAAGAAATAGGGCTTAAGCTGGAATCTGCAGAAACCATATTTTCCTCTGCAGCTCAGGAAAACTTTAACTGCAACAGTAAAGGCCAAAAGAACGATTAAGGTGTGGGATTAAGACCAGGAAGTCGTTTGCCTCCCATTTTTCCTTATGCAGAGTGCTTTCTTAGTCTGAAGAATGAGACTAAATCTCTGCAGTGCCAGCAGTTCCTCTGTGGTTTCTGGGAAGTCATTTAGGCACGCGCCCATGGAGGTGAGCAAGAAGATAGATCCAAAAACTCAGTTTGTTCATGAAGGAGGCTGGATTTTACTGGGAAGGTAGAGACCTGTGCTAACAGGGTGCTGTGCTTGGCCTAGGAAGCCTTGTGCTCACAGGCTGGGTTTGTTAGACTGAAAATAAAGTCATAGCAACACAGCCACGTGGCACCTCTCCAACACGTGGCTCACAGGAGCTCAGGTCTGTCCACACACGCCTGGGCTGTTAGCACGACCTTGCTTTTCCTGGGCTGGGTGCTCGTGGTGAACATCGGTGTTCCAGGTCCACAGCTGACACACTCTAGTGCCAAAAATCCAAACCTGATTTTAAAGAGAGACTTAAAACTCCTCCTCCAGCTGCGGTCTCACCCTGGAGATAAGAGCCATAAAATCTCCTGGCTCCTAAAGGTCTGCTTGGTGTGCCCAGGGCTGCTCCACTCTTGAAAACTCTGAGCTAGAAATTTCCTTTTCCATCCAATTTGGAGAGCTGGACCAGTGGGTACATTCAGCACATTCCTACCCAAAGAATCCCTGCTCAAAGCAGTGTTTTTAATGTCATTTTCATCTGTGAACTGGTTAGACAAATAGATTTTGCACCTGATTGAAGACACAGGGGTCACCAGAAAAGCATGTTCCCTGTCCCTGTTTTATCTCAAGGTTTGTCTTTCACAGCATTTATTGCAGTGGATGGATATGGAAAGTGGTTGATCAGGCAATGCAGAACCACCAGGAAAAGCATGGCATTGAACACGAGGCTTTCTTCTCATAGCTCAAAGAAAAGTTAAAAAAAAAGAAAAAAAAACACAATATGATTTTAAAAAAAATAAATTTTAAAAATAACAGAAACAAGTGAAAAATAATTGACTGGAGGGGAAAAATATATATGTTTGCCTCAAAAACCCCTTTGGATTCTCCACAAGGAAGACTTTCCTCTGTAAAGCAGAGTAATGGGGATTTAATTGTGGCTGATGTGGATTCAGGGAACATCCTTCTGTCTTCTGTTTACTCTCACCCACCTGAAGAAATTTCCAGCACAGCTGATCACCTCCTGCCAACTGCAGTGGGAGAGTGGCCCTCTTCTTGGAAGGTAAGACAAAAGGTAGGGAAATATGTCAGAATTACCCCTGGGGTTTCTCCCTCCCTGTCAGATGGCAATGACAGCTCCACCTTCTCACACAAGGGTATGGTGAGGAAAGATGCTTGTTCTGTTATCTCTGTTATTACTGAATTCATGAAGAAGGAAGGAAAACAGACACCACAGCAAAGGCCATTCTGGTTGCAGATTCTTATTACTTAGTTTGCAATTTCTTCACGAAGAACCTATCAGGAAAGGTGGCCTAATATGGGCTACAGTCTGAATAAAGAAAAGATTATTTGGGTTTTTTTCCTTCTCTGTCCTGGCCATTTAAACATTTAATAGTTCAGTGCAGCAATAGAATCTGAAAAATACACAGAATCTGTTTGAAGAATATAAGGTTGTTATGTCCCTTGCTGAATCATTATTCTGAATATCGCTATGGTTATTGCAGTAAAAAGGCAGATTTTCTTTTCCTTTTGTAACTTAGCAGAATACTAAATATTTATTGCATAACATAGAAACCAAGTCTCCAAAGTTCTTTAAAATAGATTGTTTATGATGGAGTGTATGCTGCTCTACTGATTTGCATGTCCAAAAAAAACACTCGTTAAATGGATTTCATTCATTTTTATGCTAATTTTATGTTACAGCTAAGGAAAAGAAAAGAAAAAAAAAGAAAAATTATTTTCAACAGAGCTTGTAGATTTATTTTCTTCTGATCACATCATATCTAGGGTCTTTCTGCACATGAGATTGTTCATCTAAGCACAAACACTCCTGGGATAGTCAGATGCATGCAAGCTGATCTAATTCTTAGTGAAGGAAAGAGAAAACCCAAGCTGGAAAGCACTCAGTAATCTAAAATTAAACAATATCTTGACATGGCAAAACTTCTCTCTTGACGAGATTTCATTGGGCTCTTGTTCTCCAGTTAATATTAATGCTTTTAAATTACATTTGCTTGGTCAAATAGACAAATATCAGACAAATGCATTAGTTCCACATATGTGTGGATTCTGCTCTGAATACTAGGGACAGCTGGACTGACTTTCAGCTGGACTAATTGGATGCTGTGGGTGGTTTTATCAGGATCTCTTTCCAAATAATCATCTAAACAAAACCAGGTCTGACTTTGGTAGGTGCATCCCCTGAATCATCTACTGGTTGCAAAGATCTCTGAGAGGAGCCATGGGAATGACACAAAGCCTGCCACCAGGAAGGAGCACGTAAAACTTGCAGAAAATCTTCATGTGTTGTCATTTAGTATTAAATCATAGCTATGACAGTAGTTTTCCACCTCATTCCTTAAGCTGCTATTAAATCATTGAAATTGTATAAACCCACCAGTAAACTGCACTCAGCAGTACTCTAAAAAGGACTTGTGACTCTGCTGGCACAGAAACTACAAACAAGATATCCTGTAAAAAAAAAAATCCTCTGACTGGAGATGGGGGAAGCCCTACCCAAAAAGGAACAATATAATTAGAGCTCTTATTACGGTGTGCTTGCGTAATTCCACCAGTGAGTAAGGTTTTGAGCAGGAAGGAAGGTGGCCTTTGGCTGCAGAAGTACAGGTAATGGCAACTGGCATCCACTAGATCTGAGTATTTGATGTTTGCTCCCAAAGAGAGCAGTGATGGCCAAGGTGCAATAAATGAGAACAGCTGGGCAATATCCCACGCACTGCTGGGCTCTACTTGT